AAACTGTAATAGCATAATCAATAAAATATACTTAAAAAAAGAAAAGGGTTGCAGTTTTGGGCTTAGGGATGACACTGGGCCTTGCTTAGCCAAAGAAGAGGTACAGAGAGGAACAGGTGCAGCTCTTTTCTAGGTTGACTGGTTTCAGCCTCTTTATCTGCTAACTCTGAGCCTAGAGTCTCAGGACGATTGACTGAGACCTCCATTGTATCCCTTTGTGAATTTGGGGCTGTGCTTTCCTTAGTTTTGTTGGACCTGTTAACACCCTTGGAACTACTTACTGTTTCCAAAATTTACTGTGTCATTTCATTGCTTCATAATGTCCCTGTCCATTCTTTTCATTTTTTGTAGATTTATTCCTTTTTGTACTTTTATATGCTGTCTTAACCAGTAGGTTTTCCAGAGGGAGAAGAGGCAAGCATGGGTGTTTGTCATCTTCTCTTTCCCTCTTCAGCTTTTCTTTCAAAAAAAAAAAAAAAAAAAGAATAAAAGAAATTGACATTTCACCCCTAAATACTTATATATATTCCTTTAAAAAGTAATTTTCTTGTATAACCCCAATGTCATTACCATATCTAAACAAATTAACGGTGATTTCTTACTATCATATAATTTTTTTTATTGTTGGTTTGTTTGAATCAGTATTCAAATTAGGTACATACATTTCAATTGATTGTTTCCAGTGCTTTTCTTCTTCTTTTTAATCCTCACCTGAGGATATATTTATTGATTTTTTTAGGGAGAGAGAGGAAGAGAGAGAAACATTGGTCATTGCCTTCTGTTCATGCCCCAAAAAGGGACTGAACTGGCAACTTATGTATGTGGCCTGACTAGGAATTGAACCTACAGTTGTTTTGGTGTACTGGATGTTGCTCCAACGAACTGAACCACCTGGCCAGGGCAAGTCCTTTTCTTTTTAAGAGTACAATTTATTTGGAAGAGGAGTGACATCATTTTGTAGATCACCTTTGAAAGAAAATGTTTGAGCAAGTCATTAGTATAGTTTTATTTTTAATTTCTTAAAGCCAAATTTTCCTCAAATAACACATGCTTTTGTGGGTTTTTTTGTTACATTTTTATCCTCACCTGAGCACCTTTTTTTTTTTTTCTTAGCTCATTTAGAGAGAGGAGGAGGGACAGAGAGAAACATCAATGTGAGAGAGAAGCATTGAGTGGTTGCCTCCCTTTTGTGCCCTCACTGGGGACCGTATGCACCCAGACCTGGGGTCAAATCCCCAGCCCAGGTAGTGCCCTAACCAGGAATCGAACCCTCAACCTTTCAATTATGGGATGATGTTCCAACTAACAGCCACACCAGCCAGGGTACATGCTTTTGTTTTAATGGGATATTTAAAACATATAGTATACGGAAGAGAATGGTGAATTTCCATCTACTCATCACTCTGCTGTCAAAACCTTTAACTCAGGACCTGTATTGTTTCATCTATACCCTTTCCCACTCACCCTCTCCTAATACTGTTTTGAAGCATATTCCTCATATTACTCACCTGTAAATATTTCTTACTTTTGAAACTAAAGGTTCTAAGTCTTTTTGAAATTTTGAACAATTGACAAACCCCCAGCCCCCTTTTTCCTTGTTTTCCTCCAAGTTAAAGGTCAGTTGTCCTGAACAGTGTTGAACATTTTTTATTTGTCTGATTGTTTCCTCTCGATGTAATTTTATATACTCTTTTCCCATATTAATGTGAACTGGAAGCTTGGTCAGAAGCATTGTTTCTGAAGCTTCCCCGGCTCCAGATTGCTCCTTTAAAGAACCTTTTTAGACATGGTTTTTCTTATTTGCCCCTGAGATGTGCACACAGATACAGCATTGTTCTTTGGAGGGCAAGAAACTTAATTTACTTTTTAAAGATTTTTTCACTTTTGAGTATTGATGTTGTTACTGTTAAGAATGTAAACTTAAGGTTTCATAGATTCCAGTTTGACTCTTTTTAAATAAGAATGTTTTGTTTTATTTTTAATTCTTATTTATTGATTGGGGGGTACTGATTTGTTGTTCCACTCATTTATGCATTCACTGGTTGATTCTGGTATGTGCTCTGACTAGACACCAAACCTGCAACCTTGGCATATCAGGACAATGCTGTAACCAACTGAGCTACCAGGCCAGGACCTACATAAGAATATTTTTTAAGTAATATGATTTTCTGTATATTTTATTACATCATGGAGTATATGTATCTGGTTGTCTCACTTTTGAGATGCTAAGATTGATTATTGCATTCAATTGGTGACAGTATGATCATTGTGAAATTCACTATCACTTTTTCTCATAATGGTTTTAAAAACCATGTTGATTGTTGCCCACTTATTTATGTCATTTTTTTTTGTTTTAATTGGCTGAAATTCTTTGAAAGACTAGCAGTTACTCACTAGGTCTCTTTGGTACCTTGAAATACAGTTTGAAATGACAGGCAAGAAAAATGCTTTATTAGTTCCTTTTTATTTATCAGTTTTCTTCCCTTTCCTCTCCTCTTTCTGTTCCCCCTCTCCTTCCCCTGCCCTTCCTCTTCCCCCTCCTCCTCTCCCTCTCTCTCGTTACTTTTGCTTAAAGGTGTGACTTGGATTTGGCAGAACTAAGGCCTGTTTTCAACTTCTTGAAATCATAAAAAATATCTTTAAGTCACAGATATAAGACAAAGGTGATTGATAGAATGTTCTAAGGTCTTTTTTATTTCTCTGATAATGGTTAACATGAAGAAAATTCAACATGCTTCCCAGATCTTGAATTCTAAATAATTCTAGGTAAACTATGTAAGATGTCTGGCCATTGGCTTTTTACCTGGGTGAACTAAGTTGTAGCTTTCTTCAATATTTGTCAACACTATTTTCATTGGATTTTCTCTCAGGTAAAGTTATTAATAAAAATTTGTATTATTTTTATCTCCTGAAGTTTTAACAACCCATTGGGGCCAAAATATCTCCTTTTTAATGTCAGGAATTATTTTTAACAAAAGTGTATGGGACAGGGAAAGACAAGACCACCTTGGATATACGTATGGTGATTCCATTAAAGGTTACTCCCTGCTCCCCACAATATCAGTATTTCAAATGATTTCTTTGTTGTTGTGTTTCTGTGTCTCAGGGAAATGCATTGTAGTAAGATTTCAGATGTGTGAGTGATATATCTTTCTCTTGTGAATGGGAAGAAGAAGGATTATAAAGCATAGAAAAGGAGAAAGCAGTATGATGCTCTCACCATGATATTAACTCAAGTAACTGGTTGGAAACTGTGGAAATTAAGGATCTGAACATTGATTCCCTTTAAAACCATCTGGTCCCCAGTGTAAAGACTGGTGGATTAAGATAATTTTTTATCACTACAATTATTTGGTTATAGTCTTGAATCTTGCTGTGTAATATTCATCCACTTTTTACTTTCATAACTGTTAATTTCTTTAAGGCCCTTCATTATAGTTCATTGATTACTACAATTTCTCTGTGCTTTTGGGGTAAGGATTCTTTTCCATTCTTCCTTAGTATGTTCTTCAGTGGAACAGTGTTTTATTCTTCCTCTTTGTCTACCTTTAACATGTAATTTTTTTAATTTGCAGTCAGTTCCCCTCAGGTTTTGATTTTTTTCTGTTGCATCAGATTTTGTCTGTCTGTTGGTTCTTCATTCATTCAAAAACCAGGATGTGTTTCAAAAATATAATTGCCACAGGGTATTAGTCTTCATTATATTTCAGTGGCTGAATTCCACGAGGGCAGGAATTTGTTGTGTTTTCTTCATTGGGTATGTAGAAACTGTCGTAGTGAGTGAATGAATGAGCAAGGAACAGACTTTCTCCAACTCTTCTCTTAATAGAACCACCAGTTTAAAAAGTGATAACAAAATTAGTAAGTTGTAAAGTATTTTATTTTTGTTAATTAATAGTTAAAATAGTGCTTTTCTGATAGAAAGGTAATTTAAATGTTTTCAGTGTTGTGGTAAGAGGTGTTCACATTTTTGATAATTTTTATTTTAATTATTAATAAAAGTTAATAGTAATGTTTGAGCTGTTTCATAAAGTCATACTGGAAATACAGTGGTAATAAAAACATCTGCCTCCTAGGGAAGTTAAAAAGATTGAGTTAGTTAATACATGTAAAGCACTTAGAACAGGGCTTCACACATAGTAAAGTGCTTGGTGACTGTTAATTAGTCATTGAGAATGGTGCTGAGAGTGATTTTTTCCTCCCTCATTCTGCTGGATGGAGGGCCCCTGATGGTCAGTTGAGCGATTCATCCATCCCTAGGGAGGCTGGCTTTATTGCCCCAGAGCAGTCCTCCCTCAGGCCCTTGCAAAAGTCCCCCACAAGGACTTCCCTCAGCTTCCTTCCCAGAGCCTTGAGGTGGGAGGCTGGGAAGAGCTTCAGAATGGCTAGTCTATTGTTGTCAAGTGGTAAGTGTTTTTAAAAATGCGCTCTGCTTTTCAGCCCTGCGTGAGACCATGTGATTTGAAGCAAATTCCTTCACCTCTTACTTTCCTCTCTTGCTCATCTCAGATGCCTTCTTTCATTTCTTTTTTAGCAGCCACACCAGACTTTTTTTACTTCCTCTCCAACACCATATTTCTCTGGCCATTGGTCATGCTGTTTCCCTTGGTTGAAATATGTTCTTTCTGTCCTCTCCACCTTGCTTTTTGGCCAGATACTACCCATGCTTGTATTAAACGCTCTTCCTTTAAGAGGCCTTCTCTAACCAATTTCCACCAGACTGGTTTGCATATCTGCCATGCTTCCTCTTCACAGCATCAAGATTCTTAAAGCCTTTCATCCCACTGGAGTTGCCCTATGGACTGAGCTCTCTGAGTATGATGGGATGTGACATGTTCATTGCTATGTCCCCAATTCCTGGCACATAGAAGGTCCCAATTAATGTTGTATATTTGGATGAGGGAAAAACACTGTAGGTATTGTTACTTAGTATTTGGTTAACATTATTTCCACAGCTGCCTTTGTTTTATAGAATTTTTATTTTATTTTTCCCTGTAAAGCTGCTGAAACTCAGAAGCTGATTCTGTCTCAATATAAGATGCCTTTGGGAAATTCTGCATTCCTCTTAGATGGATCTTTAGAACTTGGTGAGTTTCACTAGATACTGTCAATCTTCATTTTGAGGTCAGAGATATGCTCTCATTTTTTTCTTTTCTTTCCTTTTTTTCCATAATTATTGGGTATAGTGATGTTTGAAATTCCTGGCAAGAAGCATAGGTCAAAGTTATTATAAAAATTATTAGGTCATGATCTGTTACTTTCCTTGATAGCTTTTAATTATCTTTAGAATTTTCATTCTTAGGGAGAGTGAAGAGTTATTTATTGGTAAGATAATTGATATCCAGATGTAAAGTATTTTCAGCAATTCCTGGAATTTTTCAGATTTACTGCCCCAAAGTAAGATTTATAACTTTTTGTCTTTTTTCTGAGATAAAGAAAGGTAATTTACAAGTGACTAAAAAGTAAAATAAGAATTATTTCCTGTCAAATTTTAGGTTTAGAGATAAAGAACCATTTGATTAAGGTGGAAAGGGCCAGTCACCTACTATAGCTCCAGCTTACAAACAAAACAAGTCTTTTCATTCTATCAGGGGTCTGCACAGACTACCAATTCAGCATGCTGCCTGTTTTTATATGACTATGAACTAAGAATTGTATTTACATTTTTAAGTGGTTGGGAAAAATGATAAAAGAATACTACTCTGTGACATGTGTAAATTATATGAAATTCAGATACCAGTGTTGGTGAATAAAGCTTTTATTGGAATACAGCCACTATTATTTTTTACATGTTGTGTATGGCTGTTTTCAAGCTATAGTGGCAGAGTTAAGTAGTGGCATCATAGACCTTGGGGCCCAGAAGGCCAAAAATATTTACTATGTGACTCTTTCCAGAATGAGTTAATTGACTTCTGCTCTCTGCAGTTGGAGAAGTATTTATAGATGGGGTGCTAAGGTTAAGAGATGAGTGGGAGGGAATTAGAGGGAGGTGAGAGTCAGTATCAACTCTCAGAGATTTGTTTATACCATTTTCTGTCCTGGGAAGTGTAACCCATATTATAATGACACTGACCTGTGTGGCTGTTTTATAAGTAGAAAATAAATCAAGAGAAATTGATATTTTTTTCTAAAATGAATGTATATGTGGAGAAAATTAAGCTCTTAAGAGATTATTTATACCTTTTGTATAATTCTTTTCTCTAATGTGTGGGGATTGCCTGTTATTTTTAAGTGAAAGTACTAAAGTACTTGGAAACTTGTTGGTGACTCACTCAATTTTGGAGTTGAGAGTGCACAGTCTCTTTGGGGGTCAATGGATAGGCATGGATGACAATCTTAAGGAACTCTTCAGTATAACAGACAGGTGAAGTCCTGTATTAGATAAAAGACCGCAATTTTAGTCTCCTTCCTTGTTCCTCTAGAAGGCTTAATAGTTTTGAGACTTTGGAAACATTTATAACTCTGAATCTTAGTTGCTTCATTTTCAAAATAGGAAAAAATAATACCTGTCAGGATTTACCAAATAACAGTTTAAGGGTAGGTACCATTCCTGCTTTTTTAACTACTGGGTCCCCCTGTAGCTGTCATAGGCATGGCATATAGTTGGCACACAGTTAGTGTTTGTTAACTGTGTTTGTTGATTTATGGTAGTCCAATAACTAACTGTGCGTGATCACATAATTCCAGTTTTTCTTTTTTAAGAAAACATTTGCTTATTGGGACTGGGTGTTTTTATTAACCATAGCAGAGAATTTTATTGAAAACTGATTTTTCTCTGGATTCATTCTTTACAGTAATCAGTTTATTGGCTAGATTTATTTGTGTAATTGATTATATGATGTATTGTTATTTTTTGAAATCTTAGGAGACTAGTTGGATCACTCATCCAAGAATTACCAATCTCAAAGAAACCTAGAAGCCTTCTTTCTCATTGTAAAGCTTTAAAATATATATATACTAAAAGCCACTCATCTAAGTCTTATGAAACTTTCCTTGACTCTTCCACTAAACCTCTTTTTTTAGTGAAGCTTCCGTATATAATTTGTTCAAGAACCCAATTTTTAAAATCTTATCTTTTATACTACCTTATAAAGATAATACAATTTCAGAGGTATTTAGTTGAAGAAAACTGTTCCAAATTAAAGGACTTTGTGGCGATGTAACACCAAAATATAGTACATGTCTCTGGACTGAATCCTGTCCTAGAAGAGGAAGATAACCCTAAAGGACTTTTATTTACTCAGTTAAAAAAATGGGAAAATAGACATGAAATAAAATTATTTTATGATTTCCTGAAGTTAGTAACTATGGTTATTTAAGAGAATGTCTTTGTTTTTAGGAAGTATACATTGAAGAATTTAGGGGCATAAGAGCATGATATGTACAACTTAATCTCAAATGGATCAGAAGATATGTTTATATATGATAAAGAAAATTAGGCAAATGTTAACAATTGCTGAATCCAGATAAAGTATATATAGGAGTTCTTTGAACTGTTCTTATACTTTTCTGGAAATCTAATTAATTCCAAGTAAAAAAATGTAAACAAACATTTTTAGCATTTACCAAAAAACCCTGCAGGTTATGTCCAAATACTGTTGCTTTTAAATTAGTATTTGCTTCCATGAAAAATACACTTACAGTCCTTGGTTTTATTTTTCCCAGTGCTCTCACACATACTTTGTTTACATGGTGGTACCGTTACTGAATGGTATTTTTTGATGGGTGGTTTATGATTAGCCATGTTGTCATCAAAGCAGGTGTTCTTTTCTGTGATGATTTACTGAATTTAATAAGTTTATGGTGAAAGTATTTTATAAAACAGATTTAGTTATTTTAGGGTAATGGGAAGATAAAATGAAATGGAACTTTGCAAATGTAAAAACTGCTATACAAAGATAAAATCCTCATAGTAACAGTATTCTTGCAGATTAACCCAGCTATTTTAATCATAAAATCATAGTTGAATACCAATTAGTATAATTTAGAACTTTGAAAAATTTTTGGAATAGTCAGTTAAATACATTTTCACTTATCCTGTACTTTTCTTTACTTCAGCTTGTTTCATTAAAAATATTTTAGGTGTTTACTGTGCTCGCTTTGTAAACTGTTAGAGGATAAGAGAAAAATATTTTAGGTGTTTCCATAGCTTCATAAATGTACTTTTTTCTTAAAAGCAGATCCGGTGTTATTTATTAAATAAAATATTTATTTTAAAGGAAATGCAAGAATAAGGAATATTATAGTTTTCTCAAAATTTTATTAGTAATTGAATATATTTTGAGCATTTATTTTTATGCTAGACAATTTACATTTAGTAATTTGTTATGTTTCCACCACAACCTTACGATGACACCTTACCTTAATTTCCTGCTTTCAGTTCCAGCTAAATCTGAGCTTGGGTGTTAGACCTCAGAAGCCTTCAGTTTTCTTACCTCTTTTTGCTAGATACAAACTAGGGGAGCTAGTGATCTGAAGCCTATAGCAAAATTAATCAATTGTTTTTACATTAAGAAAAAATGCTGTCTTAGAATTTTGTAGTTTGTGAATATGGGATAAATACTTCAAGCTGGGCTTTCCATTGCTCTCATAATGTGGAAAGAATCCATATATCCAGACAATTAATTCTTCAGTAATTATACTGAAAAAAACAAATATGACTTTTAGTGATCCAATAGGTAGATTGATGTAGAAACCTATTTCTGTTAGAAACTTCAATTCCACCAACAAATAAAATGATTAAAAAAATTTAAGAAATCAAGGGACTAATAAAATACTAACTTAAAAAATTTTATATTGAATTAAAACATGCCGTATTATGAAGTGCATAAATCCTGAGTGTCATTTTGATGAAATTTTATGAGTCATCCTTCTTTAACCAATACCAAGGTCGAGATATAGATCATTTTCATCAATCCAGGAGCCAACTTCAGGCCCCCTGACAGTCATCACACACTCCCACAGGTAACTGTTAATCTGAGTTCATTCACTCTCCATTAGCATTGTCTATTTTCGCACTTTGTGTCTGCCTGTATTTGATCATCTTGTTTAATAGTCATCCATGTTGATCCATATAATAATAGTTTTCCTTTTTCATTTCTTTGTAATAACATCATTTGTATGTATATGCCACAATTTATTTCTCCATTCTACTGTTGATGACCATTTGGATCATTTTCAGTTTGAAAATGAACAGTGTTGCTTATTATGAACAGTGTTGCTTATAAACATTCCTGCATGTCTTTTGGTGTACATATGTATGCATTTCTGTTGGCTGAATATCCAAGAGTGAGTTGCTGGATTAGGGTGTTTGGCTGTTTAGCTTTAGTAGATCCTCCTAGTTTTCTAAAAGGACTGAATCTATTTACACTGCTACCAGCAGTGTGCAAGAGTTCTCATTGATCTACATCTTCACTCACACTCGAAATTATTAGTGTTTTTAATATTAGCTCTTCTGTTGTGTATGTAGTAAAATTTATTGTGGTTTTAACTTATAATTCTTAGTGTTTATATGCTTGCTGATCATTTGGATATCCTCTTGAGAAATGCCTGTTTGTGTCATTTGCCCATTTTTCTATTGGGATGAATTTGGGGGAGTTGTTTATTTATAGGATAATTTTTTTGTTGGATTAAGTATCCACTTAATTGAAGCTATCTCTTCTACTTAAAAAGTTAGCATATCTAGATTAAGATAATTTTTTTAATTTTAAAAATGTCCATTTTATCAAAGTATTATTTTATGGTTAGTGCTTTTTGTGTGTTTTAAGAAATCATTGCCTATCCCAACGCCAAGAATATATTCTTTTTTTTTCTGTAAAGTTAATTGTTTTAACTTTTACATTTAGGTTTATGCAAAATATGTGGTAGAATTCATGGTTTATTTTATTTCTCATATTGAAATCTATTTGCTCAAGCATGATTTATCAAAGACTATCCTTTCCCTGCTATAATGCAGTAGATTCTCTGTTTTAATTCAGGTGATTCTTTATTTGTGGGTCAGTTCTTGGACTCGACTCTATTTCATTGGTCCGTTTGTTCTTGTGCCAGTGCTGCACACTTTTCATTAGTGTAATTTTAAGTCTTCCAGCTTTATTCTTCAAAATTGCTTTGGTTCTTTTTAGTACTTTAAATTTCAGTAAAATTTTATATTCAGCTTGTCAGTTTCCTAATAAATAAACAGCCAAACTCCTGCTTAATGTTAAGCAAGTTTAATATTATTATTTCATTTTATTATTAACTAGTTTAATGCTGACTCTGTAGATCAATTTGGATATATTGGACATGTTTTCATATTGCAACTTTCAATACATTAACCATAGTATATGTCTTTATATATATTTAGGCCTTTAAATTTTTTTCTTAGAAATGTTATTTTATAAGTAATTCTTATACATCTTTTATTAACTTTTAAAGCTTATGTTTCTAAAAAGTTCTTATAGTTTATAGATCATATTGGAGTACATGTAGATGAAAGAAAATAATTTTGGAGATTTGCTTCTAATAATACTAAGGAGGATTATAAGGAATGGGGGAGGGGCAGAATAAATGATAAGATTAACCATGACTTAATAATTGTTGAAAATCGGTGATGGGTATATGGGTTAGTAATTTTATTATTATATTTTACTTTTGTGTATATTTGAAATTTTCATAAAAATAAGTTTTAAGAAATATAATGACTACAGGAGGTTGAAATACATACACATTTATATAAGAATCCAAAAGTTCACAATAATAATTATTTTAAAACCCCCCATAGGCACCAGTTCATTAATCTGAAAATCATTGGCAAATGAAAGTATCAACCATTATTCTTCTTTTTCTGCACTTTTAAGGTAACTAAATAGGAGCAAAAGTTTACCATTATAGTAGAATCACAGCTAATAAGAAATGCTGGGAGAACGTTAGGGTTAGAAACTCACCACAGCATATCCTCTAATAAAATTACGAATCTAGATAATAATCTGTCAGTGAGTACTAAACCCATTTGGTAAAAGTCTGTTGGGAAATGGACATAATAGAGTAAGCCTCTATGACTGATTAGAACTAAACACATATATGTTGACAGGAGGAGATTTGACTTTGGGTTACTACATAATGCATTATACAGGTGATGGATATAGAATTGTACACTTGACTTCTATTGACCAGTGTCAGTAATTTCTTATTGACCAGTGTCACTCCAGTAAATTTAATAAAAACACCGTCAATAGCCCTGGCTGGTGTAGCTCAGTGGATTGAGTGCGGGCCACGAACCGAAGGATTGCCAGTACAATTCCTAGTCTAGGGCACATGCCTGGGTTGCGGACCAGGTCCCCAGTGGGGCCACATGAGAGGCAACCACACATTGATGTTTCTTGCCCTCTCTTTCTCCCTTCCTTCTTCTGTCTCTAAAAAAATAAATAAAATCTTAAAAAAAAAAAACACAAAACACTGTCAATAGTCTACAAAAACCAACTATCTAAAGACTATGGAAGTTAATAATAGAGGACAAATTGAGAAGGGAAGTCATAACTTGAAGATACTCTGTACAATAGTGAGAGAACCTTTTTCTTTTCCATGTCCCAGCCCTGAGTGAATGGGCTAAATTGTGGAACTGTACAAGTGGGTATAGGAGTTAGCAAAATCTCTTAGAGAAGCCCCTATTTCTAGCCACAGGGTAAAGAAAAGGAATCTTTTTCTTTCTTAAGTTTGCCTTGAGACCATCGCCACCTGTAAAGAATGTTGTATTGCACACTTACTTAAAACCAGAGAAAACTATTTCCTTGGCCAGAGAAATTGAGAAAGGGGCCCTCCGAGACAAGAGCATGCTGATGTTCAGAGACAAGAGAGCTGATGTGAGAGGATAGTCCCTAACTGTAAGTATGAATCCACAGAAATCCCACCTCACACATGAGCTGCACATGCACAGAACAGACCTAAAGAAACACAGACTTACGAGAACTGGACTGTAATATAAACTACCATTCAAATCTCAGGTTTGTCCCTGAGTGATGATGGCAGAGGACAAACCCAAATAACATAGTAAAGACTTTGAAAATTGAACTAACTTTGGGACTACTGCCCCATAGAAGGCTATATAGTGTATAATTCCAGCCTGAGCTTAACAACAACAAAAACAAAATCAAATTCTTCAGAAGATGTTAATGGAATATAGAACTTTATAACATCATATCCAGAATGTCTAGGATATAATCTAAAATTCCTTGACATAAAAGAAACAGGAAAATATTATCATTTTCTATGGGGACAGGCAACAGATGCCAACCCTGAAATATTCCAGATGATGGAATTAGCAGAAAAATACTTTAAATCAACTGTTATATTCATGTTCACTGAGATAAAAATGGACACTCCTGAAATGAATAGAAAGATAGCTCTCCTTTGAAAGATAAAAATCATATAAAAGAATCAAATAGAAATATCAGAACTGAAAAATACAATAGAATATGAAATACAAGTTCACTGCATGGGCTCAGTAGCAGGTTTGAACATAGATCAGTAGAAATCTTAAATCCTGTGTCTTCTGTAAGGGTATATCTCGGTTCTATAATACTTGTTAAAAGTCTAGGTTATACCCTCTGAAACCTACCCATAGGCCTTGTGGCTGTGAATTTTTGTGCCATTTATACATCCTTTTTTATTTGTAATTACTACTGTGTACTTGCTTGCTGCAAAGAACATATATCTGTGCCATTTGAGCCCATTTCCCTTGATACACAGATCCAGATAGGGTCTTGACCTGCCATTTTTTCTAGACCTTGTCACTTCAGGTATGAATTAAGCAAATCATTCAGTGGGTTAAAAAATAATAGTCAATAAAGGGGTAAACATACCTACAAATAATTGTTCATGTGAAAACTTTGAAAGTAAATAGGAATAGAGAGATAAGTAGAAATGGATAGTATATATATGTATCATATATTACAAAATCTTAAAATTTAAAGGTAATAAATTTTATCTTAAACATAAATACAGATATACTGCTTATTTTGGTGAAGAGGAAATGCTTTATGGTTATTTTCTGAATAATCTGTGGTTCAGGATGCTTCTAAACTTGAACTAGTTTTCAGTTGGTTATGAACTTGTTTGGCCTATTTGGCTGCACAAAAGGAACCTGGCAGTTTACCCAAGTTTTAATAGGTCAGAACAATTGTCATTTTATGAAGTGATTATACTGTAAAAAGTTAGAGGAATACTTGAGGCTTTAAAATAATTGATATATTTTTAGTGTTGTCTGGTGGCCTCATTGATGAAGTTATATAAGATGTCAAAAGTTGTCATTATTTTTATACATATTCGTTATAAATTACTAAATATCTCATGAGTTATCCTGAGCCTGGTATTTTTATAATACTTCTTAATAACCAGATTTCTTAACAGGTCCCTAGGGATTGATGTACAAATGAAATTCTGTACTTCCTTTAGGGCAATATACTTCATATTCACTCTACCTCCACTTTTTTTTTTTCCCTAGAGAACCATCTCAGAAATTTATGTACACTTGTCTTTTAGACTACTCTATAATCAGTCCCCTCACCCATTGTCCATGTCCATGGGTCTTTCATACATGTTCTTTGATTATGAAAGTAGGGGGTGGGGTGGGCAGAGGAGGGTGAAGGGGGAAAATGGGACAACTGTAATAGCATAAACAATAAAATATTAACAAAATAGACTATTTCACAAAGGCTGTGATAAAATTAATATCCGATATTTAGCCTTGTTTGAATATCTGTTTGATACTTAGAAGTTATACCTTTTTTACATATTATGTAGCACATAAAATAGTTGTCCAAAAAAGAAAGTATGCTTTTAAAATCATGTGGACATTAAACTAAACAAACTTCTGTCATTCAGGAAAACATCAAGAGAGCCTGTTGCTACCATACAGCAATAACTTTAGACTTCAGTTGCATTTGAACTCATGCATCTGGAATTTTTATCCATATTACTTTTTTAAAGAT